TTTTTTTTTGCTTTTTAACCCTGCACCTCTGGTTAGAATTTGCCTATTTTTGAATTGGGTTGTTTTTTCAGATATACTTTTAAAAGCAGTGCCAAAAGCTGCCTATTCTGAGAGACTGCATGCAGGAGGAAGGAAAGGAGCAAGAGAGAGGGGAGAAGGGAGTGGGAAGAGGGAGAAAGGGAGTGTGAGGTAAGGGAAAGCAGCCCCTTAATCCTTTTATTCAACATTTATTGAGCACTTACTATGTGCAGACACTTCTACAGGACCTGCTGTCTACACCTGTTTGACTCAGTCCAGCATGCTGGCTCTGTGACTGCAGTGACCCTGCCTAGCTGCCAGGGCCAGCCTCCAGGAGGCAGTGCTCACAGTCGGTAAGCCGAGGCCGCGTGGTCGGACGGGCTAGGTTTGAACCCTAAGGTGGTGTGGCATGCCTTCGGACGTGAGCTTCACCTGCCCTGTCTGTAAAATGAGGTAATAAGAGAAATAAAGCATTTCAAGTGTGCTGCAGGGGACAGCACAGAGGGAGATGTGCCTGAGTTAGCCAGAGCAGCTTTCTGTCCTCCAAGAAAGCCACCCTGCCCTCTGCCTCTTCCCTCTCGACGTGCAGCTTCCTGCACTTGACCCTGCTCCTCTGTGGTGGTCTGAGTCACGGAATCACAGCCCCCCACCCTGACTGGGTGCCAAAGCAGTGTCTCCTGTGTGCCCTGAAGCCACTTGGTAGGTGGCCACCTGCTCTGGGCACGACAGCCATTTGGGAGGCAAGATCCAAGGACCTGCAAAGGCATCAGAGGAGTGTGGAGAGTGGGGTTCCCATGACGAGGGGCAAGGAGGCAGGGACTGGCAGGGGCCTCCATCTAGGGAGTGGGAAGCTTGTAATACGACAGAGGTGGGAGCGTGGATTTCCCTTTCTTCACCAGAAAGCTGCTTTGTGCCCTGCCGGCCCCCACCCCGTGCCCTCTGCTGCTCTTACACAGCCCTGAGCTCCAAGGGCAAATCCTGCATCCCGGGGCCTCTTCCTTCTCTCTCCTGGAGCACAGTGGAGCTCGGCCTTTTGAACTGAATTCTAACTTTTTATTTCCTTTCCCCCCCCGAATACAAATGTGATTCATGTAAAGGCAGTGTGTAGTGCGGCGGGTAGGAGCACGGGCCCTGGGCAGAAGGCCTGAGTTCAAGTGCAGCCCCTACTCCTCATTGGCAGTGCCGTCTTGGGCACGTTATAGATTCCCTTTGTGCCTCAGTTTCTTCCTGTGAAAACTAAGGATAACAAGCCCGTCCGTCATGAAGTTGCTGTAAGGAGAGAAGGCAGTAATTCTCATGAGGTGCTTGCATGGGGCCTGGCGCTCAGTGAGGGCCCCGCGATAGCTGTTGATCACATGATGTACAAACAAGTGTTCAGGCATCTTCATCCCATGTGGCAGGGACCCTTTAGGGGAGACTGCTGGGGCGAGTGCCCGCCCTCTGCTCCCAGGCCCAGCGCTCAGAGCACTGGCCGTGCTGATCTGCCTCTCCACGGAGGCCCAGTGGACAGCAGGGACGGGGTCTGGTTCTTCCGGATCTCCCAGGGCCTGGCCCCCAGAGGAGGGTGGGAAGATCGTATTGCAGGACAATAGGCTAGGTCAGGAGGGCCCAAGCCTAGGCTGGTTCCAGGGGTGGGGTGGGGTGGAGAAGGAAGGGTGGGGGTGTGGTCAGCAGGACTGTCAATCTTGACAATCCTGACAGCCAGTGCAGGTGGAGGAGGGAAAACTAAGCTGGGCCCCAAATGACATTTCAGAAATGACCTGATGAGAAACTTGGACAGAGAAGCCCTATTAATATACAAAAGGGGGGACAGGGCCTCAAGGGGAGAGCCAGGACATCTCACTTTAATATGAACAATGACAATAATAAATAGTGCCATCCCCACAGGGTCGTGCAGGTAAAAGGGCTCCCGAATGAGGAATGTCCACTTAGCACAGGGCCCTGACCCCGTGTGGGTTCAGTCAACGTTAGTGCTCACTCCTGAAGGCAGAGAAGAGCCATCTCCCCAGAACAGCCTTGCCTGGCCACCCTGTGTAAAGCAGGACTCCCATACACTCTTACTCATAGCACCCTGTTGCTTTTCTTCAGCCCGGGTTGTAATTACTCATGTTTGTTTACTTGTCCAGGAGAGCAGGACTGTGTCTGTTTTCTGCTGCCCGGTCACTAGCACCAAGAGCAGGAGCACAGTCAATGTTGGAGGAACGAATGACTGCCCCTCCCCCATCTTCAGGCGGAGCAGGCTAGGGACTCCCTGCCTTTTTCCATTAGTCTTGGCTCTCAGAGCCCCTGAATTGCCCAGCCAGAGATGACCCTGTGGCTGGTGCGAGAAGAGCTGGATGCTGCGGTCTTTGCAAGCCACAGAAGAGCTGGGCGAAAACAGCTGCATGGGGCCTGAGGCTGGGTTTACTCTCACCTGCTTGGCCATGGTCCTTGGATGATGGGGTCGTTCTGGGACTACTCTGGCCCTCCACCTGTCTGCAGCTGTTTGGCCTGTGGCCCCACAGCTACACTGCGCCTCCACCAGACCTCTGTGCAGCCCCTGTCTCACCTGGGGCAAAGCCTCACTTTCAGAAGAGGCTTCCTTTTTGCTTCCCACTTTGCTCCAGCCCACCTCCTTCTAGGTCTCCCCTGCCTGCTGCCCTCAGCTGGGACCAGGGCCCCCTTGCCTTGGCAGATGTGTGAGGCTGGGGAAGGCACTCTGAGTCCAGATGTGGTTGTGTTTATGTTTCCAGAAAGTGAGGGGTCAGAGCTCTGGACTGGAACTGCTGGGGGAGGGGCTGTCTGGCTCTAGCCCCCTTCCCCCACCCCCACCCCCCTTAGCCTGTGTATCTGACCCTGTCCATCTCAGAACCCCACAGTCTAGTCCCACAGCGTCAGGCTGGGTCCAGGGAGGACCCCTCTTCACTCCTCATCTGAAGGTGAGAGGATCGGTAAAAAGATGCCTGGCTTTGGAATCTAGAAACCTATGGGCTCAGTGTGACGGTGGCCCAGTTACAGTCTCATGGCGCCTTGGTTCCATCTGTACAATAGGGGTAGCACTCCTGACTTCAGAGGCAGCGGTGACCTGGTTTGAGAACGTGTGCACAGGGCTCTCCAGCTATTAGCTCATGACTAAGCTGGTGGCTGTGCCCCACTCCCAGCTAGGGCTTGCCTGGGTCCAGCTCCAGGGCAGTGCCAAGCTCCACTGCAAGGTGATTCTAAAGCAGAATATCCACCCCTCCTTCCTCCCCCGCCGCAGCTGCAAACATTTTGTTTTGCCATTAGAAATGACTTACTTAAGGGAAGCAGAATTTTACAGGCAGTTTACAGGCTGGTCTTGTTCAGTAGTTTGCAAAAGCCGGGCGAGGGCGGAGGCGGCCGGCAGCCCCCATAAGTTGGGGTAGAAGGGAAGTGAGAAGTGAGTCCTGTGTGACGGACACTTTTCCCGACACAGCTACACAGCCGCTCGCCCCCGGGTGGGATCTCCGCACGTTGGGGCATTAGGGAGGAAGGCGGAGGAAGGCCCCTGCTAGGCTCTGTCGGATCCAGTCCTCCCGGGATAGCCAGGGCCAGGCTCCAAGGGGGGTTGCGGGGGGAAGTGCCCGGCCCACAGGAGCAAAGGCAACGTCAGGCCTAAGGAGGTTCTCAGCAGCCCCCACCCTGACGCTGCGGGCAGCAAGGGCCCCCTAGCACCCTGGGGACCTCGAGGGTCGCCGCAGACCCAGCCTGGGAAGAGCCTGCAGAGTCCGGCGGCCGGGAAGGGATGGGCGTCCTGGCTAGGGCGGCCCCTCGCGGGCGCCCAGGCGCTGAGTAGCTCAGCTGGTGCGCACGGGGCGGGAGCTCAGGACGCCGGCGCCGTCACGGCAGCGGCGCAGAGCAGGTCGGAAATGGCGGTGGGAAACGAAGGTAGGGAGACCCCGGGAGCTGCCTCCTCCCTCCTACCCAGGGGCCCGAGGTGGCGCAGTTCCCTTTCTACCTGCCTCCCCCTCGGCCCAATGAAGCAGTCGGGGCTCGGCAGTGCTTAGCACGCTCGGACTATGGTTTTAATAGACGTACATGGACAAGTCGATATAGACAAATTTATAATTCTATACAGTCAGTCCGACATACACAGGGACGCTGTAAACAGGGCGCGGGCCGGAGAGCGGGTGTGCAAAGTGGGCTCAGGGCCCGGGGGCCGCGCCCCGCGCTCTCCCGGCTCCACTCTTGCACGGCGGGCGGTGAGGACGGGGCTGTTCGCTGGGACAGGGGCCACCTCCCGGCCCAGAAGCAGAGCAGAGGGCCTGAGCCTGCGGCTAAGCTTGCGGGCTGGGGTACTCTGAGACAAGCCCTCCCCGTCCTCCCGCCGCGTCCACACCGCCCGCTGCAGCTCCGTGGCCTTAACATAGGGCTCCGGGGCGCGGGGCCGGCGAGGGCCCTACGGGGCGCACCGGGGCCGTGTGCGGCTCCACGGCGAGCGCCAGATCCCGTGCGAGGCACCGTCTCCCCCGGCCCAACGCCTGCTCCAACTCGGATCCAAAGCGAGCTAGGGTGCGCTCGGCCCGGGCCCAGCTCGGAGAGGCGTCTTGGGTCGTGCGGGACGGAGGAATCCCGGCTCGTCTGGGTTCCGCACGTCCAGTTCGCACAGGCGCGGCCACTCAGTCCGGGTCCAGCGCGGCGGGGACGCGGGCTACGAGGGCGTCCTCGCCGGGCCGCCGGGCCTCGGCGCTCGCTTCCCGGGCCGAGTCCCCTGCGCGGAGCGGGCCGCCGGGGCCCGTGGGAACACACACACGCCACCCGCGCCATCCCGAGGGAAATTGCAACTCATCCGTTATTTCGCGGCACTTTTCTCCGACGTCTTTTTACTTTCTTTTTTTCGTTTTGGAGGGCTAAGTGGGGTCCGGAAAAGCAAACACAAAACCAACCCGGAGGTGGGAGTGGGAGGCGGCGGCCCCGCGCGCGTCCTCCGCGCCCGCCCCGCCCGGCGCCTGCCGGCCGCCGGCCCCCGCGGCGCGGCGGGGCGGTCAGCTGTTGTACTGGCACGCGTTGAGCCCCGAGGCCGGGCCCTGCAGGCCGCCGTAGCCGAACGACGAGTGCTGCTTGGACTTGAGCCGCAGGCTGGCCAGGCTCGAGTTGCACGTGTCCCGGTAGACGCTGTAGGGCGAGGCGGGGGTGCCGTACGGGCAGGCGCCCGGGGACATGGCCGAGTTGAGCGAGGAGCCGGTGAGGTTGTTGATGTTGTTGAGGCCCGAGTTGGGCATGCCGGGCACGGCGCCCGGGCCCATGCTGGACGGCATGGTCATGGAGGAGATGGAGCTGGGCGCCGAGAACATGGACTGCGAAGACAGCGGGCTCATGGAGTTGAAGAAGGTGAAGCTCTTGGTGGAGAGCGGCGCTGGCGCCAGGCTCTTGGCAGCCCAGTTGTTGTAGGAGTAGCCGGCGGCGTACACGTCCTCATAGGGCTGCACCAAGCCGCTGAACTGCGGCACGTAGCCGCCCTTGCACAGGTCCAGCTGCTGGTTGCGCTCGCGCTTCCGCCACTTGGCTCGCCGGTTCTTGAACCAGACCTGGGGGAGGAGGCGCGAGAAGGGGTCAGGGCTGCGAGGGCGGGAAGGTCCCCCACCCGCACTCCCCGCCACCCCGCGCCCTCCGCCTGCTCTCCGATGTCGTTTCTGTTCTGCGGAGACCGATATTTCCGCTCCTGCCTTCTCTCCATAATGGTTGCTTTCCTGCCCCCCGGAAATGTTAGTTTTTCCCCCCTTTTCCCCATCTTTATCGTCTTCCCCAAATTAAGTCCATTTTCGTCGCCTAATACGGATTCTCTTTTATTTTAACAAATATTCGTTTTCTTTCTTCCCCTCTCAGCCAGTCCACATTTCTGCCTTCCCCGCCAAACGGGTTCCTACCTATCCGCTAAATATTCCATCCCTTTTCTTCTCCCCCAAATACAAAAGGTATTTTCGTTCCCCTTCGGACTCCCCCGATTCTTCGACCTATTTCATCGCTCAGTCTGTTTTCATCTTTATTGGCAATATTTGATATTTTCATTTCTGCTCCAAATATTTATTTTCGTTTGGTCCACCCCAATATCTGAACCTCTTTCTTCTCGCTCAGTCTGTTTTTTTCTCTGTCCCCCAGTTTTGATCCCTTTGATTCCTCCCCGAATATTTATTCTTTCTTTCCAAATATCTGACCTTCTCTGTTTTCTGTAAGCAGTTTATTCTTTCTTTTTCCCAAATACTTGATCCTTTTGCTTTTCTCTTAAATATTGAATTTCTTTCCTGCCATCTAAATATATGCCAAACATGTTTCTCCACAAATATTCAATTTTCTTTTGGTTCTTACTAGTTTCTAATCTCCCCCCAGATTTGGTAAAAAACTTTTTTTTTCCCCCAGCCTCCAAGTCTTCCCCGGTCCTCACCTGTCTGCCCACCACATGCCTCCCGCACTCCCGGACCCTTCTCCAGCCCTGAGCTCAGTTTCCTGAGCTGGTTTTCAGGGCCCCTGCATCTCAGCTTCCCCAGTCCCCAGCACTGACACTGCCTGATGCCACCCCACCCACCCCTGCCACCGTAAACCTGCGCAGGATTAGTGAGTTCAGGATTACTGAGTACTGTGTCTCCACTCCAAGTCCCACTGGCTGGCCAGCCTGACTGGGGAGGGGAGAGGGCTGGGGTTACGGTAGGGAGTCTGTGGGCCAGGTGGGACGTTGTTCTGGCTTGGGAGGTGCGCCCAATATTTGATTAAATATCCATGCACCCAGGGAAGAAATGATTCTCTCGCTGCTCTGGCAGGAAAGACTTGCATTTACTGGAACCCAAACGGGTGAGCGGAGGGAGAATGCAGTCTAGTCTTCAGTTTGAGACCTTACATCTCAAAAGGGTCTGGGAAGGCCACTTGGCCACCAGAGGCACCCCCCACCTCACCTGACCCAAGACCTACAAGGAAAGGTCATTAGGCAAGGGGTCTAGCTACCGACTGGCTGAAGGGTTAGGGAAGGTGGAGAATATCTTGAGATTTTGGAGAAGCTGGTTGCGGGTTAGGACCGCAGCTCCAGGAAGTTTTGAGAGCCCTAAACCCAAGCACCTTTCCGGCTTCTCCGAGGCAGCCAGGCAGGACCTGCCTTTCCCTTTCGTTTTCGACACAAGTCCAGCAGGTCCCGAGGTCCCCAGCGGCAGGGAATCCTCTGCCTAGTCTCTGGCCCCGGGTATCCCGCTAACATCTGAGTGGGTCCTGAGCCCTACAGGGAATGGGAGAGTCCCCTGGAGTCACAGGTCTTTGGGCTGGGTCTATCGCAGAGCCCGTGGCCAGGTAGGATGCGGGTCAGAGCGGTTGGAGGCGGAGCAGCCGAGGGGCGCTAGCGGCCTAGGGGCCTGGCGGACTCTAGGTGGGCCAAGGCCTCAGGTGGGGGTCTCCGGAGGAGGGAGGGAGCAGATCTGAGTGGTGGGAGAGCGAAAGCGAGTAAGGCCTAAGCTTTCACGGGCAGCTGCAGAAGCGGCCGGGCAGCCCTCTGCGCGGGTCCCCTTAGGCGCGCGCCTTGTGCTCACCCGCACGCGCGGCTCGGTGAGGTTGGTCCACACGGCGATCTCCTCCCTCATGCTCATGTCGGGGTAGCGGTTCCTCTGGAACGTGGCCTCCAGCTCTTGCAACTGCTGGCTTGTGAAGTGCGTACGTTGCCGCCGCTGCTTCTTCTTCTTGGCTGGGTCCTCCGCACCGCCGCAGCCCGCGCCGCCCGTGCCACTGTCCTCGGGCCCCTTGGGTTCCCCGCCGCGCTCCTTCTCTGCAGCAGGCAGTACGGGGCGCGGGTCACCTCGGGCTTACGCCCTGTTGCACCCCGTCCCGGCTCCACCGAAGCGCTCGCCATCGGCGCAGGCGGCCCTCCCTCCCTCCAGGGGCCCTGGGAATTGTCCCCATTGGAAAGAGCCCGCCGGGCGCCGGTCATCTCTAGTCTGGCGTGCGGCGGAGAAGAACCCCGGAGCCGTGGGCCTGGGTTCCTGGCTGGGCCGGGCCTGCTCCCGCAGCTCGGCTCAGGCTCCGGCCCTGCTACCTCTGTTACCCGCAAATGTATGCTTGTTTTTGCAGGCTCTTGAGGGTGGGGTCGGTCTAAATCTGCAAGGGTCTCTGCTTTTCTGAACTGGAATCAGATTTTTCCAGCCCGAAGCGCCTCCACTTTCTTCTCCCCAGGGCTGTGTGGGATCCCCCACTGGGCAGGCAAAACGCAGCCGGTTCTCGGCCTTACTTCCAGGCCTCCAGTCCCAAGGCCTAGAAACCCTCTCCAACTGCAGCCCAGACAGACAGACTCTGTCTAGGTGACCTCAGGCTTTAGCCTCCCTCTCTTTGAAGCTACACAAAACACATGCAGTCATAGAAACATTGAAACATAAAGGAAAAGAATTTTAAAACAAAACACAGAAGCCCAGAAAAGCTCACAGCCCTCTGCCTAAGAACACTGGGGGGCTGGGAGGGTCACAAATTCTCAAAAATAGGCAGGTAGAAACACAGAGCAAATGTAAATTAAGAAGCCAGAAACCTTCGTGCAAACACACCCTTAACTAAATACAGAGCTCTACGTGCATAAACTCCAGGCAGACAGAGGCATTTATTTCTCTGGGATCAAAAAAAAAAAATCAATGTACAGTTGTAGATAGATTTTTAACCCCTTCCCAATAGCACCCTTGTAGAGATCATTTTTAAATCCCAGAGCAATGCAACATTACAGTTAGATAATTTAAATTCCCCAAATAACACCACCGTAAATGGATTTTGAGAAAATCCCGGAGAAATGCGCCATTTTGGATTGACTTTTAAAATCTCCCGAAGAATGATGTTGCGTGTAGATATTTTAAATTCCAGAGAAATACACTTAGTATATTCTTTCAAATTCGAAAAATCCAGTTAGAATAGTTAATTCATCTGCATAGGTTTGGTTTAAAAAATCAATCTACAGTTATATATTTCTCTAGGTTTTAAAAATAACCGACCAAAGACCACACTTAAAACTTTTGAAAACAAAAGTGTAGTTCACCGTTGATTGTTTTTTAACCAAGCACACAGAACCTCTCCGAGAAAGTCACGTAGGGATGCAAAACAGAAACAAACAGAGATTAAAAAGGCAGAAGCACTCGGCGGTGGATTAAGAAATGAACGCAGAGGAGGCGCCCACGCCGCGGGAGCCGGGAGCCCCGAGCCGGCTGCGATGCCCAGTCTGGACCGCGAGCGCGGGAGCCGCTCCGAGACCCGGACGGCCGGGCCGGGCCGGGCCGGGCGGGATTCGTCGCGCCACTGCCCCCACCGCCGGCCCAGCTCGCGGCTGGGCGAAAGCTCGGGCCGGACAAAAAGGAAGCTCAGAGGGAGACGTGCCCGAGCCGAGTCGGGGCCCTGGCTGGGCGGCCTGGCGACTGCAGGCTCTGGCCATGCATGTGGGCCGGGACCCCTGGATCGGGGTTCGGCTTCCGGCCGGCCGTGCCCGGAGTCCGCCCGCGCCCCTTGGCCCGCTCGCCCTCTCTGTCCTCCGTGTCTCCCTTTTACTCGGTGTTTTCTCCCCCCAGCCCAGCTTGCTCTTGCCTCCCGCCCCTTCGCTTCAGTTTCTCCCGCTCAGTCTGTCGCCCACTGTCAGGGCGTCTGCCCCTCTCTCCGCCTCTCTGGCGCTTCCTCTCGCCCGTCACCCCCATTCCCTGCTCGCTCGAGCTGCTTCTCTGCGCCCAGTCGTGCAAACCCCACTTTTCCCGCGTTCTGTGCTCCCGCTCGAGAGGGGCTGTCAGTCCCACCCCCAGTTGTAGGCTCGCACGTCGGCCCGTCTCTGGGCGGGAGGGGACCGCGTGGAAGTGCCTCCGTGTGTGCGCATGAATTTCCGCGTTCACCGCCAGGTCAAGAACGGGAAAGAGAAAGCTCCCGACGCTCTTGGGGCGGAGAG